GAAATTCCTTTACCAAAGGATAGTACGGATCCAAGGGATTCCGTAGGATCGACGATCCCTCCGTGCGTCCAGCACTCTCGTGGAGTCCTCCAAGACAGCTTCACTCAGAAGCAATGACGAGTTTATCTCCTCGTCCGGTCGTATAAGGATCACTTTGGCCAAATCGCCTGCCTTCAAGGCACTGCCAAGCTCTTCAAGGGACATCTAGTCCAGCTCAAAAAGAGCATCTACTGCAGGCATAGCCTTGAGGCGGACGTCGCCATCTTCCTCCCCAGTCATACCGTTGACGGGGGTGTAAAACCGTGCGCCATCGTCTACGGTAGACACACCTAGGATCAGGGTCGACGCCCGGCGTCTTGCAGCCAGCATATGGCGTCGCCGTCGCCTCTGTACAGAGGTTCTATGTCTCGGTGTGCTTAGCGTGAGCACGCACTCCGAATCGTCTGGAGTCACCCTCACTTTCCACTCCTTTGGAGCTCCGATGTTATCTACAACATCCGACGAAGAACAGCTAACCCCGCAGTCTTCATCCAGTGGATAACGTGCCACTCCACGCGCATCTGAAGGGCCGTGTCCAAGATGCCTCGGAAGGTACGTGGCTGGGTAGCGAGTAGTTATGCATGTATTTAGATTTTACTATATGTATTTAGGAAAATCTATACATTTTAAATTAGGCGGCTTTGCCGCAGATAAAACAAAGAAATACAGTTTACATTTTATACGAAAGAGTTTAATAGCATTGGGTTAAGGTTCTTACTACTCTTGGAGGTAGTGAATTGCAATCCGCTACACTCGTGCTGGTTCTTGTGAAGAACGTAAGGTCGGTGACCAAACTTAAGCTTCCTCTAAGCGCAAAGCTACGGCAGCTCCGCTGCACTTGGTAGCACTTCGAGTCAATGTCCACCTGAGTCGTTTAGACTGACCCTCTGTGACGATATGCAATTTTCCTCTTTGTCTCAGGGCATGTAGGACGGGCTTAAAACGCTGATGTCCTTGCTTCGCCCTGAGGCCATGCAACACCTTGCTGCGCAAGGCCCCGAGTCAATCGGTGCGTGTATAGACGCGTGTTCAGGTTACGAAATCGCGCTGCTAGAGCACCTGTGCAGAAGATGTCTGCATCATTTGCGTCTATGACGCCACCGCCAGTAACAGATGACTTTTCCCGCCCTGAGCCGCTCATGGTAAGCGTTAAGGTCGTTGAGGGGAAGGATGGAGAGAATCCTGCTCTGAGTGAGAAAGGTCGAGATTGCCATCGCATCCGCCATCTCAAACCTCGGTGGTCGAGCGCGAGAATGGGCACTGACGTGCGGCACTTCGGTCAAAAAGCTGCGTTTCCATCCTGGGCGGAGCTAGAATTGCAGCTCTCGCGAGTGTTCTCGCCGCCTAACCAGGCATATCGCGTGCGGACGGCAAGGAGCTGATAAACTTTGTTCAAGGAATGCGCACTCTCATTGCCGGGATGGCAGCAGATCCCCTTCCGGAGGCGGTGACAGTGACCGTCTTTATGTAAGGCCTCCGCACTGACGTGGCCGGAATGGAAGTCTTCCGTGTGCATCCGTCTTCATTTAGAGGTGGTGAATGTGGCGTTGAATGCCGATCTCACTTTCAAGTCGGCACAACTTGGTTGGAATGCACTCCAACCGCTCGTCGAGCGGGCCTGTGCTCTTGGATCTCAGCTATGCTGAGAACGAGGGAGCAGAGCTCCGAGCTGCTGGACAGCACACAAACACACGACGGTGTTTTGTCTGTGGAGACACCCGTCATCTTTGGAACGGTCGCCACCTGCGCAAAGCGCGTCAAGGTTCTTCGAACCATCGCCTCCATGCCTACCAGTCTGGTTCGTCGCAGGGAAACGACACAACCCAGCTGGCACGGGGCGACCTACTGGGGGAGAACTGAGTTATGTTAAGCCTTTGAGAGGCATAGGTCAACAGGCCAACCTTCGAAGAGCTCCGTGCTCTTGAACACGGAACGTGTA